TCAATTGGCTAGAAATCTTACCTCCCGTTTCAATGTTGTGGTAGAAACGAGGCAGCATTGTGCAGTTTCTCCTAATATTGAAACCGGGGAGGGGGTTGGTTGCCATTCTGTCCAATGATGGTGATTTGGGCTTTTGTTTTCAAATTTAGACCTCTTACATCATTTTGGAGTTGAACACTTAAATTTTTCCCGCTGGTGCCAACTAAAAGGGATATTCGTTTTGTGCAATTCAGTTGTGAAAACACTGAAGGCAGACTAGGTGATTAGATTGGTCTCTACATGGAGCTATAAAAAAGCTCCATGGTCTCTACAAGCTTGTTGCAACTACTCCACTATGTCAATATCGGTTGACTACTCACTGCATAGTAAAGTCAGATTTACAGGCCCATACAATCTGTAGAGGGCAGCAAGCACCATATCAGGTTGTGGTATTGGGCGGTTACGAAAAGAACTCTTCAGATGAACACCCTATCATTCGCTCAATGTTTCTTAAATTCTAGCGCTTTCTATTCAGTAAGATTATTTCCATTTGTAAATGGGGAAAAAGGCTAAACTTTTCTGGTTTAACCTGTCCCCCTGGATAGGCCACTTCATCTTAGAACCTTTCGGAATGATCTCTGTGTAGGAGATCTTTGACAAGACATTATGAGAAAGCTCCTGAAAAATCAGTACATCTGAGGGCCTTGAATCCGCTTTGAGAAGAAGCACCCCTTATCGGTTGACAAGAGCCATTTTGTGGGGAATGTTCATTTTGTTGATAGCGACAAAACCGTAACGCGTGTTTTTCGAAGTCGTTTGTGAACCAGAAAAGACCAGTTCCCACCCAAAAAACAGCCAATACAAGGAAAAGTGCGCCCTCTCTTGATCAAACTCGGGGCTCATAAAGTGATTGGGATTAGCCAAGCTACGCTGGAAGGCATAAAGTGATGGGTATGAGATATGCTGGCGTGGCCAGGCTGTTCCAATGAAAGCCCATGACTCTCCCTGGGGCAGGTAAAGTGTCCGGGTCACGAATATGGAATTCCATATCTGAATAGCACGAGTCCACCAGGACGGAAATTTGGGAGTGACTGAGGAAGAACAATCTTGTACTGACTACGGTATAAATAATTAATGAGGACGCATTTAGTCTTGTTAATGCATTCTGTTTGTTTCCATTTATTCAAATCAAAACGTTAATTTAGCATGCACCAAGGCTTGGGTCCTGGTCCGTAATATCCATCAAGTCATGAGAGCAACAACACAGGTTCATCCAAGTCAGACACTTTGGGGACAAGAAAGAGGTCTCACCTCAGGTTTTTTAAGAGCAATCGGAAGAAAAACCAGAAAGGTCCTGTAATTAAGCTTCTTTGTATAATTACGATGACTTGAAACTACCTTTTAAATCAGTTGTTTTCTGAAGAAATTGGAAGTATATGTTGAGGAAATAACGAGGCTTAAACTGTGTAAATTAAAAGCGGACTTATTCAGCGTTCATTTCATCTATTTGTTTCATAATTGTCTTGACTATAGTTCATTTTTATTTCACGTTTTATTTCAACTCTGACAGTCTTATTTGCGAACGACGGTGATCGATGCCGAGAGACCCCGAACTAGTAGCTCCTTCAGATCACGGTCGCACCAATCAGTAGCGCGTCCATCCCTCGGCAACCGGTCGGACCCTCTCTAACTTCAACACTGGACGGCATCTTTAGTAGTCGTCTTGATCCAGTCACAGTAGTTACCGACGGTAACATAAACGCCTGGGTGAGCAGGATCAGCGCAGCCGCTACCCCAGCTGGCAATGCCCTCTAGGGTGGTGCTGTTCTTATGGATGCCATGCCCGTAGTGGCCGACAATTGGGCCACCATCGTCACCCTAGCGGGAAAAGTAGGAAACTAAGCCGTTGGAAACCATGATTAGAGTTAAGTTAAAAGAGACCCAGCAGCCTGACCGGTGAAGAAGGTTATTTGAGGAAGAGATGGCAGCTAAGGGGAAGAGACAAAGGTTGTCTTCGTTACATTTAATATTGCCAATGAGGACGATATGAGAAAGTTAAAGGAAACAATGAGCTCTCTAACTCAGCAACAGTCCTCCAACAGCCAACACTTCTGAAGAAGAAAATGTCACGGTATACCTGAGAAAAGGGATTGACAAGTGTTAACACGAACTGCCAACATTTTAGAGCCCCCATTTAAGGCCTTTGCATGACATCACTCGTCCCTCTGCCACCCCCTATATCTGCGAGAAAATGGCCCACCTGGCAGAAGTCTTTTCCGGAAGCGGCCGCGCAAAACATGTTGTCTGTAATCGATGAAGAGCCGTACACTTTTCTGCAATGATGCATGCTCTGTGCTCTCACCACCACTTCCATCAGAACGTCTGACCTTGCAGACCCATCACCTCAATAAATCAATTAAAAGAAATACCTCAACTTTGTTAGAACGTATCTGATCAATCCACAAACTCCCTTTTTATACACAGAGTGAGAAGAATGTGCATTGAAAATCACAAACCCAACCTCTGTACCCGACAGACCAAATAACAATGAATGAGCCAACCACTCAAATTCCCAAACAGCCATATTGCCCTGCTACTTGGTTCAGTGGCTTAAAGTTATGCCAGAAATCGGGGCGATGTGGGTGGGGAATTCCACTGGGTTGGATGACTTGCCCCTGCCATGGGAATTTGAAAAGCGGGAGGGGGTGCTGACCAGTGATGTAGTCGAGAGCCAAACCTCAAGTACTAAAATTTACGAGTACACAGAGTGCCAAGTGCGAGCCCAAGTCCGAGTACTCATTAATCGAGTCATAGCCTGGACCAAACATGCAAGTTCGAGTTTTCAGAGTCTAAGTACGTGCCGAGTACGAGTACAAAGATAATCGAATACATCCGAGTACATTTTTAAAAAAAATGCACTGTAACATGTGATGTACGAAGTAAATTATTCTGTATTTTCAAAAATTAGCACATATACATATCAAAAGTGTTTTTTGCTTTGAATTCTTGAGATAGATAAGCGTGATTTTCCTGATAAGGAAAATACACTCCGGCGAGTTTTTACTACTCTCTCTTTTTCAGTGCTATTGACTACGTTTTGGTGATTAGTAAGTCCAAATGATTTTTTCATCCCCCCGTATATCAAGAAAACATGTATGGTCAAAAATTGTGTGGGGGGTTACTCACCATCCAATGAGATTTACGCCTGTGGTCTCGTTGGTAGGGTCGTTAATTTAGTTTTCTTGTAGGCTTTATAGAATCTTGTAGGTTTTGACAGTTATTGTGAAATGCCAAAGTTTCGACTGATGGTGATGACACTAATGTTTCATCGACCATAAAGAGAGGAAAGGGTTGTGGTTCACAGAGTAAACGGATGTGCTAACCCTAAATGGTCGACAGGAAAAATTTTTCACGGGGGGTGTCTCTTTTCTTATCCATGCTATAAGAGTAATGTAATGAAATAAAATGTACAACCCAAAGAGACATCTACAGACATCTCGCATTGTTGCAATCTTATCCAATGAATTTTACGGGTGATTCGTGGTAAAGTTTCAGGCTTAGTACTTCAAATAGTCAAGAATGCTCCGACATCACGCCAGCTCCAATGTGTTCTTAGCGTGTCAATTTGAGCGACGACTGTAGTTGATTATAATTATCTAGTCGACCAAGGCCATCGGGCACGGTCACACCGCTGGTTATCAATAGCCCATTTCACTGATCATTATGGAAGGGAACACTGCGAGAATCGCAGCCTAAGTGTTATGTAAGTAACAATGAGTTCTTTATGACTACACAAACTAGGGTCGTTCAATAAGCCACTTTCGAGTTAAATTTGAATAAAATCTGGTACCCTGCGTTATCTGATTGCATAGAAACGTGAATTACCCAGAATAAAGACACTGTTGATATTCCTCGTGATTCGGGGACAAGCTTTTGCTCAGCTACCACCATCTCTGGAATTGACTGGCTCCTTTTTGCCGTTCTTATCCATTGAGAACAGTGTATTGTTGAAAAGCGTCTCTTATGTAACTAAGGAAAAGCTTGCCCCGAATCACGAAATATAGCAACAGTTTGTTTTAGTATGGAGAATTCCAATTGTTATGTTCACGTGAATTTAAAGAACTCAGTGTACCCGATTTTATTCAAAATTAACTCGCAAAAGGCTTATTGTAACTGAATTGCGCGTGCGTATCGTTGAAAAGCGATTGACCACTGGTCAAACTACAGATTGAGCCCGAACTTGACCTACAAACGGGAGATCAATCGTCGACACACGGCCGCCCCATAACGGTCAATCTGGCACATGTGTATCTGATGATCTCGAATGACCCAAGCATGTGCTGTTTGCTTAAACCGAACTCACTCATTATTAAAATCAACTTACTTGCTGTCGCTCCCCATCCACTCACGAGCAGTTTCATCGCTTTATGAGGCCGTGTCTTGGCAATTCGAATGGCTTCGATCTTACCGTTGCCGATGTGGGCGTCTCTACCCAGGTGGAACAAGGAGATGTCGTTATCAAGAGTGCCGCCATTGTAGTCGGGATGGAGATGCCATGTGCCCCTAATTATCTGCTGGCCGGCCTCACTGTGGTTGGTCTTATCGTGGAGTCCCAAACCTGCGAAGCCATGGTGGCCCTTCCTGTTTACCAGTGGAAAGCAATAGGCAAATGATCAAAAAGAAAACCTTGTAAAACCAATATTAAGTATGTTTTGGACAGCCTCCTCTTGACGTTTGCCTTAGAACTTGGCCAATTGGGACACGGTAAATGACGCCATTTCCTTGCTCAAAATGGTAAATGTTGGTGAGTAAAAAGTGGTGAGAGCAATTGCGGTTATACACCATGGATCAATCTCTTTCTTGAGTATGCGTGGATCTTAGAAGAACTGGGGAATAGCTCGACGTTTCGATCAGTGTACTCTGTCCGTCTTCAGGAAATTTTGCATGAGGTTATACCGCTTAATCGAATGGCACATTGATTGATCAAAGTTGGGTGATGATTGTTTACGCTTTAAAACAGTAAGCCCCGTGCAACATGCCAGTCACGTGCGCGTGACAGTTATAGTACCAAAATGGTCTCTGAAATTAACTTGTAAGCAGAATCAACTAACATCTTGATTTTCCTTGTAAAAGCTTGCCGTGTAATACAGGTGGATGTAAAAAGGGGTTACTAAACCATGCCTGAAGTCAACCCTTGAATAGCTTATCATGACATGTACCATTTCGCTTGTGCACATTTCGTGGAAATACTTTCGTATCAAGCATTCTGCTATAAAGAGGCCTACAGGTATGAGGCATAAGGTCACGTGTTCTTTTTTTTACGAAGATGATCAAATGATGACGGATTGCACTCGAATCAAGGGGGCAATGAATGGTTCTCTACAAGTACTAACCCGCAGTGGGCGGCAGAAACGACCCATCGTTTGTGGACAAGGGTACCACCGCAATAATGGTCCTTAATATCTTTCCTATTATAGATGGCCACCTGGTAGGGTCGGCTGTGTGGTTTGGACTCGTGCCCGCCGACGATCAGTCTGCCGAGAGTCGGCGCTGAATCAGTTCAGAAAGAAATCATAATTACGATTTTTCATGTGTTTTGTTGTGGCCAGAAAGTCTGCTTAGAAATCATTCACCACTTGCTGCTGGGTGCTTTGAAAAAAATGCATTCCACACATACGGGTCATTTTCAAGATTTTCAGTTTTCAAAATTCTTCACAAATTCATCATTTCATGTAAGGGACGTTCAAACACACAGGAAGGACTCTTTGGGTACCACTCTAAACTGACAGGTGGCCTTCATTGACGCCCGAGTTTTTCAGCTAGGCCTGCAGCCTCGCAAAAAGAGCCTAGATTGTGCGGTGTTATGTAAGATTCGTTTGTTCCCGAAACCGGAACAATGCTCTGCTGACTGTTTTCAGGGGCCAGATTAGTTTGCAGCGGTGCTGTGTGGCTCCTCCCTTCAGTGGTGGAGCGCTTTTGTCCCCGGTGGTAATCCGCTCGCTCTGAATGCCCCAAACCATGGTATACTGTTTAAAAACAAGGCTGGATTATCTCCACTATTGAGAGTGAAAAAAAATGTCGGTAATGCCGAGCAGCTCAGTCTTTTGTGACAAGCACGGTCTTTTGTTACAAGGCCCAGTTCTTTTGTTCCGACTTTGGGCTCCCCGGCTTCATGTATAAAGCCTGTGTACTCAAAAACGGGTCGCCCGGCAGGAAGTAGTTCATTTGCTGATAACTACTTTTCTAGGCTGCAATCCAACGTTCGTTTTACCACTAACCAATGGGTGCAGCAACTTGCCATAGACGCGTGTAATATTCCTAGCCTTAGCCAGTTAATTGAGAAAGGACCCGGCAAATGAGCCTCAAGTTTCACCTTCCAGCATGCTTCCATTGACTCATCCACGTGCGAAAAATGTATAGGCTTATTTTTGCCTCACTTAAATCAACTAATGCAAATATCAGTAATATGCATTCTACTAACAACTAAGTTACTGAAAAGATAGCCATGACAGCATTGCTGCAACAGTGTTTTTCTCAGTACATGTATAACTAAAGTTTTAACTATAGTTTACTAGCCACATGGTTCTCATATTGCACGGTTTCGGCCGTTCATGACAATCTGCATCAACTTACTCAGTACAGCCAGGAGGCAAGCCAGAGAAATGAAGAACTTCATGGTGAATGTTGCCGTTGATTTTGCTAGTTGCTTCGTTGAGACGCAAGCTCGAAGTACCGAGATTGGGGATTTCGGTGCTTTTTATAGCCTGGACCGGGCAAACAATGCGCGGCAGTTGACGAAAGCTTCGATAACCAGTCGAGCGGGGGTTGTTTGGAAACGAGCCAGTACTGGTAACTACTAGTTTTTAGTACTAGTTTTTTTCCCAGATCCCTATCTTTATCGAGAATTAAACAAGCAAAAGAACTTGACGACTACAAAAGGCAAAA